GGATAAAACATATGGAGGTGATTTATGCGATAATAGGTATTTAATTTAGGAAAATGTTTTGATAGGGCTGTAGCCCTATCAAAATAAGTAAAGCCTCACCTCATAACTCATCAAAAATTGCAATTCAAGCATTGGAAAACCTTTTCATCAATCATCCAGGCTTGAATATTTTGTGAAAAAGATTTAGGATTTCAAGCTCTGAAAATACTGTATACTGTAACAAATTATCTAGACCGTCCATTTTGCCCAAAAATAAGTGTTCATAGATCCCCAAGATCTGTACATTTTTTGAGTTGCAATTTTTTTTTGTCTATGTCAGAAAGTGATTTTAGAGCCATCATAGAGATATCTGTTGCTGAAAGTGCTTTCCGGACAAGGATTTGAGCTGAGGCTTTATTTTGTTTTCATAAGGCCTAGGCCTTATAGAAACTTCATCCTTTAATTCATTAATTAACTCCTATATTTTCAGTTGTTGGAGATTATGTATCCACTATCCTCTGATAGAAGACATTAGATAGTAGAAACTAGAAACTTAAAACTAACTTTACATAAGACAATATATTTTAGTATACATCATATTATCATAATTCATAAACATTCAAAAACCATAATCACAAATTCACAACTGCAAACTTTTGAAAATACAAACTAAAAGTTTATGAAGAGTCCAAGAGTCAAGAAAAATCATCATCATCTCTCTAGTCTCAAGTCTCAGTCTTAAATTTAATCAGACATGTTATCTAGGAAGTCTCTATGTGCATGTGCATCTCTAGCATCTGAGTGCGAGGAATCATCATCATCAATATCATCCTCGGCGGCCTCCACATATTATTCTTCTTCCTCGGTCTCCTCGGAGTTGGCCTCCTCCTCATTGACCTCTGTAACTAATATGCGTCTGGACCTAGCTTTTCTCTTTTGTGTTCTAGTGTTTGGCCGTACTGCTTCAGTAGCCCTTGCAGCTTGCTCGACATCATACCAAGTGAGATCCTCACTCTCAAACACACACTCTGCTCATGGATCCATGGTCCACTCACTTGTGCCCTCACCCTCAAGTTCGTACAATCACATTGGGTTGAGATCCATGTGCTGTTGATGCCTGTTCCTGAACTGCGCATTATATTGCACATTAAACAAATCATTCAACTTCTTTTGCTTCAACCTATTTCTTTTGCTTCAACCTATTCATTATATGTTATTTTCTTGTTTTTGCTCTCTAGTCATCTTAGATTTTAGAAAATTGAAATTTGAAATGCAAGAAATAAGGTTTAAGGACTTATATGCTCAAATGCGCTCCAATTGCGTTCGCCACTAGATGAACTACATGTGAGACTCAACACTCGAATAGCGAGATGTTGTAGATTTGGTGTCTCACTTCCATATAATGCCCACCATGCAGCTGCATAATATTTTTTAATTTAGATAAATATTTATATAATGGAACTAAGCAAGTAAAAATGTAAATCAAACAAAACAAAAAGGGCACCTTTCGCCTTTACCTGGATCTGTAGTGTCCTTTCGAGTAACGATCTATCTCCCAAAGTTTCCCAATGCTCACTTGAACTTGATCAATTAATATCATTGGATATCTGGGTCATGGACCAACCTCTCAAGCAAATGTAAGAACCCTCCATTTATTATACAATCAGACTCAATGGAAGGGCGCGTATAGTGAAGAGATTGATTTAGAAAGTAACTGGTTGCGTGGAGGTGCATGCAAAGCTAGTTATCCCATCTCCTATTAATAATTTCAACATTTTTTTTCATCTTTTAGAACCTTTGTTTACCTCGTCTTGCCCTAGTCGTTGCCTCATGTATGTAGCCCATGGCGAGTTTCACTTCACCATCAACCTATCGAAGCACTCTCTCTAAAGGGTGAGTCACATCCAATGCACGATATACCTGGTCTCAAAAAGATATATTAAGAATAATCTGCTCTGCCTTCCCCCATCTTGATTCTTTGACCACATGCTTTTATTCCACTTCTTTGAATCAAACATGATCCTTTAAGGCACTTCTTTGCTTGCATAGGCGTCGAAGAGTGAGGATGTGGCAAATCTAGTGACACCCGGTCCACCATATCTCTCTTCTTTGTGAAACTCCTCATCGTGCTACGGAGTATGATGTGATTATAGACAAATCCAACAACAGATATAGCTTTGGAAATCACCCCACTAAATATGGATGTCGTACCCATTTCCTTATGCATGAGATTAATACAATGAGCTGCAGGAGTCCAAAACATATGCCTCCTCTTCGAAGTCAAAAGAATCCCAGCTGCAGCTCAATTGGCACCATTGTTAGTGACAATTTGTACCACATGTTGTTCTCCAACAAATTGTACAATCTTATCCATCAAGTCACATAGGTATGTAGTGTCATATGACTTCTTTAATGCATCAACAAACTTAACAAAAAGCATACATGTTGGACAGTTAACTAAAAAATTAATAAATACCCTTGATTTCCCTTCAAACCATCCATCGCACATAATGCCTTCCCCGCACTTCTCCCACCCTTCTTGTTGTGAAATCAAAATTTTATTAACATCAGACGCAACATCCTTCAAAAGGGCCCCCCTAATCTCATCAAGCGTAGGAGGATTAAGTCTTGGGCCAAATTGCCCAATTGTCTGGACTATACATGAAAAACTATCGAGGGTTATGGTATTGAAAGTAATGCTGGGCATATAAAACCATTTTGCAATGTACTTACGTACCTTCTTCCTCTTTTATTTCTTGTATCAATTTTCAATTGTGGATTGTTTTGTTTTTTTCCTCTTCTCCTGAACCACAATTTCAGGATCAGGGGTGCAAAATGCATCCATTGGACCCTTAGGGAGAGTTTTTTTTTTTTTCGCAACACTCCCACCGATATTTATAATCTTGTCCCTTGGAGTATTCCTTTGGCTCACACCAATTTCTGATATATCCTCATCATCTTCATCATCATCGAATAATTGAATTTCATCCGTTAATTCTTTTCGTTTTATTTTTTTCTTTTATTTTTGTGTTTTCAAGCTATCCATATATTCTCTAATCTCCTTTTTAGTCTCTTCGAGCTTGTGGCATGCTCTGACATTCACAGAAATACTGGCAAAGTGTTTTTTTTGTCGGAAAATACCCGCCATATGAGTATTTCCACAAAGAGTACAAATAGTACTTGTTGCTAGAAGTACAAATTTTTGTCTTTCGGATATTTGAGTTTTTCAAATTTCCAAGCCGGATCCTTGTTGCTACAAACATGACCCCAAAAAAACGTATTACTGTATTAGGAAAAAAATACTTTCTAATTAATTGAAGAAAATATTGATATCTTCTTGGCCCTTGAAAACCTTGATATGTTGTCAAATCTTCGCACAGTCTCCCTCAAATCAATACTCAAAACTAATCCCAATCAACAAGCAAAGATCAAATCGAAATATTTTCTCGAAAAAAGTTTATGCTATTTTTTTTTTATTGAATGGATGCAAAAAGAAGCCATGAAAGTGGCTGTTTTGAGGTTTTGGGGGGGGTGGAGGGGGGGGGGGGGTTTAATACCCCACCAAACCCTTTCCCCCCCTTCTTTTCGGTTATCAAAATCACTTCATTACCCCTTTTCGAGGGTTTACTTTTGCCCATGACGATGCGCTGCATATGTGCTATGCGCTATGCGGTGGCATATGGGGCGGGATGCAGTGCATCCCACCATAGTGCGTATGCGATGTGCTTCCTAATGCATATCGCATGATGTGGCCGCATTTTAAAATGATGGATTGAAGGTAAGGTGTTAGGGAAGGGTTGGATATCATTAGGGAACAAATTAGGATTAGGTTTAGAGGGTGTTAAGGTGGTTGAATTTGCTGGAAAATTTCAGGTCCAGAGGTTGTTGATGGATTTGAAGGGAATGTGATATGATTTGGGCTGATTTAGAGTTGGGTTGCTTAGAGGTATAGGTGTTGCGTTTGGGAAGAAGGTGGTATTTGTTATTGGGGCTTTTGAAGGTCGGTTTCATGCGTAGAAGTTGGGTGATTCAAACTTGTTATCTGAGAAGACAATAATGGATGGTTCCTTTACCCATGTATTCACAAGCTTGATCAAGAGCTTAAGGAAGACTGCTGATGGCTTCATAGATCCTTCTTGATCAACTGCTCTACTTCTCTAGAAGGGGCATCATTGAAATGCTCTTTTTGTGGCCCATTCTTTTGCTTCCTTCCTGAACTTCCAGAATTATTTATGGGATGATTAATATTCAAACAATACACTTAGGTAATTTCTCCTATGCTCTTCTTTCAATCAACTAATTGCTTGTTCCTTTGGTTCACGGAGGGATGAGAGGCATATGTATGACCCACGCAAGTTGGCATGGCAGAACTCAAAGGAAGCTCCCAAGGAACAACTTGCTCTGATCCCTAAAATGATGCAGGACCAAGAGTGTTTGGTTCCTAGAAGAGTGTGCACGTGAGGTGGGTGTTGAAAAAAGGTTTTGGGTACAATTACAGATTCTCATTAAGTTGGGGTCTAGGAGTTATAAACTGTTCTAGGTAGGAAATAACTTTTGGATTTTGGGACACTACCTGTAAATCCATTACAACTAGGAAATAATAAAGAAAGAAATCCTATTAATGTTCGGAATTCACTCAAGAAACCATAAAAAATAAATCTTAATCTAATTGGAACCACATGGTGGTCCACTATTACTAGTAGATCCTCCTTGGGACCCACCTCCTTAGTGGAATTTCTTTTGGTACCGTGTGGGGTCCCGTGTGGGCCCACCTTGGCACACGATATCTTGACTGTCTCGGGTGCTTTTCCATCAGATTAATGGGATTGTCTAAATTTTGTTCTGGTCTCCAGAAATCTGACTTTGATTGGATTCTCTTTTCAGGGCCCAAATTCTTGATTTTCATATCATCCCTGTGTTGTTCTTGAAATATTTTCATACTTCTTTTTGTTGGTTTTTACATAGGAAGGTTTTCTAATCCAAAACACTGCTTACTTATCTAGTTTGCTTATTTTAAATAGGAAAAGTTCTGTAAGTTAAACACCTGGAGGACAGTTACGCATTCAACTGATGTTGTTTCCCTTCTATCTGAGATACGGCTCGGCACCGGAAAAAATGATTGCTGGCCAGGTGTACGTACTGCAAATATTCCTGCAGTTATTGCTGCTGCTGCTGCAGCTTCAGGTGCAAACTTAAAGGTGACAGAAGCTTTCAACCTCGAAGTTCTCTCGACTGGCATAGTGAGTGCCACTGCTAAGTGCAACCATGCTGGTGCAATAGCTGGTATGAAAAGTTTATGTAGTAGCATCAATGCTTTTCAGTCTATTACTTCTCCAAGAGGTTACAGCCTGGGCCTGGGCTTACAAAACCCAAAGCCTGTAGGGTCAAATGAGCAACTACAACTTGAAATCGATTCATTTAATCTTCTCTTGAGAAAATATGTTGGAGAGCTTCGAAAATATGTTACTGATTCTGAGAGTGGCAGTGTAGTAGACAAAACATTGTTTCGTGAATCTTGTTCTCTGGCAACTGCACTTCTTCTCTCAAATTTGGTGAGCTTTTTTCTTAGTTGTTTTATTCCTTGTTGGTCTTACTCCTCTACTATCTTCTATTTTTGTTTTTCCTTTGTGATACCTTGGGATTAAACCTGTTTGATTTGTATTTAAAGATCGTTAATTGTGCAGGAAACTCAGTCAAAACTAAATTTGGAAGGCTTTTCACAATTATTGCGTCTTCTTTGCTGGTGTCCGGCTTACATTTCAACACCAGATGCCATGGAGACAGGAGTTTTCATTTGGACATGGTTGGTTTCAGCGGCCCCCCAGTTGGGGCCACTTGTTCTTTCGGAGCTTGTAGATGCATGGTTGTGGACAATAGATACCAAGCGTGGACTGTTTGCATCTGAGATGAGGTATTGGGGACCTGCAGCAAAATTAAGGCCTCACCTCTCACCTGGAGAACCTGAAGTGCTTCCTGATAAGGATCCTGTTGAAGCAATCGCTGCTCATCGATTATGGCTTGGGTTTTTTATTGACCGTTTTGAGGTGTGGAAACCATGGATTTTTTGATGTGCATTCCTTTCCATAATTTTTTGACGACGAAACACTATGGACTTCTGCATTTCCTTTCCACTTCTATTCAATGTTGACATTTTATTATAGATCTATGCTTGCAGCGTGTCCCTGGATTAGCCGTGAGCAGTGTTAAAAAGTGCGAAACCAGGCAAGGCTTGGTTGAGTGACTCAGATGTTTCCCGGGTCACCTCAGTTTGCCCTATCTTTAAAAGCAACAAATTTTATAGAATATTTGCTGGATTTTCATAGACTAGGACAGACTTGGGCAGGCTGGCCAGGCTGGGGTCAACTAGGTGAAGACTTGGTCTGCATGTGTGTCATTAAGAAATGGCAACCCATATAGGGTGCCGGTTTCAAATGACTTGGGCGAGTATGAGTTATACTCACCGGGTTTTAAGCACTGGCCTTGTGTGTGTGTGTGAAAGGAAGGGAGGGAGGGAGGGAGGGCAGCCAAATCAGAGGAAAGATGGTAATTGTCAGTAAATATGGTAATGGTGTGACAAACATGCAGGAGGGAGGGGAGCCAAAGCAGAGAAAAATGGTAATGGTCAGGAAATATGGCAATGGCATGTGTAAGAGCATCCAAAGCAGAGGAAAACATTGTAATGGTCAGGAAATATGGCCATGATATGCTAAACATGAGTTATCACATGAGCTAGATTCTCTCAATTGGAGAATGTAAATCATCTTAGTTGCAATTCCACTGCCTTGATATTGCAGGTAGTGTTGGACATCCTTTCTGATTGAAAGTCATGGTTCATTGACTCTCGCTTGGCTGCGAATGCTGCTACCCATTTCGCTGTCATAACTGAGTAGGATCAAAGCCCAGTTGATACTTAACAACACCATCCTTCTGATGTATGCATGAGGACAGTGATTTCAATCACATTCATTGACGAATAAGCTCTATGTACTTTTTGAAGTGGAAAATTATGTCCTCTAGAATGTATAGTTGCTTGTGGTTTAGTCTTAGTTGGCATGGCCACATTAAGTCCTAGTTAACATACTACTGTGATATGTTTAGATAAAATGATGGAGTAACTGTCTGTAAAAGCCTGGCATCTAATTTGGCATCGCGGCATTAAGCCCTAGTCAACGTGCTACTTTGCTTTGTTGATATAAAATAATGGAGGAACTCTGTAAAAGCCTGACTTACATTACTTGGTTGGGGAAGCTTGCAAAAATAGCTCTGTTTTAAGAAGAGACATTATGGAAATGATTAGGAAAACTGTAGTTTGGCATTCAAGAAGATACTAAGCTTTCTGGTTGAGACTTTGCACTTAATATGCAGTATTTTGGGCTGCTTATTGCTTTTTCTCAATGAGGATCCCAAAAACTGCATGTAGCACCATGTAAGGGTGTTGCTTTTATAGAAGGACTAAGTTTTTCAGGGCTTTACCTTTTAGAATGATCTGATATGACTAGAAATTTATTTATGAGGTTTCTTTTATTGTTTGATTCTGAAGCGTGATATGTGATATTAACAAGGATTTATAATCTGGTTAATGAAGTGTTGCTGGTCATGCTACTGCTAAAAGGATTACAGACAATGAAATGTTCTTACAGTTTTGCTATGTTTGCTGAGGTTGTTTGATAATGGCTAGGGGTTTAGTTTTCATGCCAGTTAGACCCAAAAGGAGCAATAATGAACTTATGCTTGAAGTATGATGGAAGCCCAACATGTAAAATTCTCCCTATCTTGGAATGCCTAGGATGAATTTTCCTGCATACTAGCAATTGTGACCTAGATATATTTCACTCCTGATTTGTGGTCGAGTTTGCTTCTCAATGTGCACAGCCAGGATTGATTGCCTGGACATGTCTTCCATACATCATGATCCTTTTTCATAGCGAATATTATTTGTGAGCTGACACATTAAACTGAGGTGGGATCGATCCCTTGTCCATGTGCACGCGAACCAGTTATTTGCTTTTTAATTTACATGAGTTCCAGCTCTTAGAAACCACTAAAAAGAGTTATCCTCAGTAACTTTCTTATATTGTTCCCTGTTATTCATGTGAGTGAGTACCTTGCTGTATCAGCTTGCTTATTAGTTGTTTTAGGTATTCAAGTTCCAGTAATCAGAATTTTTCTTTTACATGGGAGCTAAGAGCGACTAAAAAGAGTTGTCCTCAGTAACTTTCTATGTTGTTTCCTGTTATTCATGTGAGTGAGTATGTTGCTGTATCAGCTTGCTTATTAGTTGCTTTAGGTATTCAAGTTCCAGTAATCAGAATTTTTCTCTTACATAGGAGTAGCGTTTACGTAAGTTATTCATGATTATGCAGTTGACTTGACATGGATATTTTGTGGATTCTTGTTCCTTGTGGCCTTGGAATTCCTCCAAACCTGGCAATGAAACTTAAGGATGGGTACTTTCAGGAAACTTTGTTTAGGTTTTTTATGAGTTCCATTGTATAATTGTATTCTATAAGCTGTTGGAAAAATCAGTATGGGTTCTTATGATTTATATGTTATTACACATAGCCAGAAGAAGATTTCTATATTATAGATTTATAATTGTATTGCGTTTGGTTTTATCATTTTGTTTGACACGTTAAACTGAGATGGGATGAATGCCTCGTCCATGTGCACGAGAACCAGTCATATGCTTTTTAATTTTCATGAGTTCCAGATCTTAAAAGCCACTAAAAACAGTTGTTCTCAGTAACTTTTGCTATTGTTCTCTTTTATTCATGTAATGTAAGTACATTGCTGTATCAGCTGGCTTATTTTTTTTTTTGATAACTGTTAACTTTTGTATTGAAAAGAAGAAAGAGATACAAGGTTATACCAGGAGAATCTAAGTGAGATTCCTAGTAAAAAAGATATGGTCAAAGGACCGAGAACAAAATGGGGTTATAGAATTAACCCCTTACATCGTATAAGACTCATGTACAAGAGATATACAAAAGAGAGAGAGAGACAAGGCAAAAACGGGCAAAGGGGGAAAGCCAGTTGAGGGGGCCAAAGATTAGGTGAACCCACACAGAAGACAACCACAAAAGATGGGCGAGTCTAAGCATCTTCATGGGCTGAGGCTCCATCCTTAGCTAGCAGATCGGCGAACCGTTCGATGTCCTCGAGATATGAATCCATGATACTGTCATCTCCCTGCATAGGTAGTTAATCTCATAAAAAATGAATAAAAGATGCCAGGGTGGGGGCGTAGTCTAGTAGCCCAAGAGATAATGTTTTTAGCATCACCCTCCACCAAGAGGAAACAGCCCCAAGACTGATCAAAACATTGTAGGCCTCTAAGGAGAGCCATAGACTCTGCCAACTGGGAGTCTTGTTGTATCAGCTGGCTTATTAGTTGTTTTAGGTACTCAAGTTCTAGTAATCAGAAATGTTTCTCTTACATGGGAGTAGCATTTGCATAAGTTAAGTTATTCATGATTATGCACTTGACGTCACATGGATATGTGTATATTCTTGTTCCTTGTGGCCTCGGAATTCCTTCATAAACTGGCAATGAAACTTATATTTCTAACAAGGATGGATACTTTTAGGAAACTTTGTTTAGGTTTTTTTTGAGTTCCATGGTATAATTGTATTCTCTAATCTATTGGAAAAATCAGTACGGGTTTTTATGATATCTTTGTCTTAACACATAGCCAAAAGAAGATTTCTTTATTATAGATTTATAATTGTATTCTGTTTGGTTGTGTCATTTTGTTTTATTAATTATTGTTCTTTTATATTGCTGTTTAGAAAACAATTTGTACTCTTTTATACTCTACAGAATTTGTGTATGTTGGAGTGATGGCTTCACATTTGCCTTTTGCTTTCTAGGTAGTTCGTCATGAAAGCATTGAACAGCTTCTGCTTTTGAGTCGATTGTTGCAAGGGACTATGAAGTCTCCTTATCATTTTTCATATCACCCTGCTGCTGCTGGGACATTTTTCACTGTAATGCTTCTCGGACTTAAGTTTTGTTCATGCCAATCTCAGAGCAATCTGCAGAACTGTAAAACAGGACTACATTTGCTAGAGGATCGGGTTTACAGGTGATCCTATTCTCCTACCTTTGATTCTACATGGATTCCAAAGTGATTCTTCTTGCAATATCTAATGTGCTTTTGAGGGTCAGATATTCTTTGTGATCATGATTGACATAGTTTGCCTTTTTTTGCCCTCTATTTCTCTGTTTCCTTTGTTAGTACATTTTTGCGCTTCTGCTTATTTATGTTTTTAATTTTTTGCTAATATTTGGCTTATGTCGTGGTTTGCTCTTTGGGAGATTATTTAAACAGGATTTCTGTTTTCCCCAAAAAACATTTAAAGAGTCGTTCTGTTTCATTCAAACTCTATATAGGTACTAGCTATAGAGAGAACTCTATTTTTATCACATTAGAAGAGGCTCAGGATAACTGGCTTCCTGGTCATTTTCAAATTCCTTTAAACCACCAATTACGTAACTGAATAGATAGAAGAAAGATCAGGATTTATGTAGCCGACCCCAATTAATTGGGAAAAGGCTAAAATGATGATGATGATGATGAATGGATAGAAGAAAGACCAGTCTAGATACTGTGGGATTGGAAATAGCTCCTTTCCAACCTGTATTCATATTGGTTTTCACTTAGTTTGTGACCATATTTACTGGGATTGGAATTAAAATTTGATCATTGGGATTGGGATTGGGGGATTGCGACATGCAGAAAGCTCCATGTGCTGGGGGCCGTGGTTCAAACAACCTAAAATCTAGGGATCTCAATCCAAATTTGTGGGGGAGCTTAATCCAAACTTGATTGGACAAAATGGTAACTTGTATAGGGCTGAGCTCCACCTAGGTAAAAATTGAGGCCCCTGAGAGAATTTATTATAATAGCATAGTATATACATTACTATAATAAACCACACTGTTATACAATGCTACACTGCTATTCTATACTTACGCTATCTACTATATTCTACCGTGCTGTACTATATGCTACTATATGAAACTACCATATACAATTGTATGGTATATAGTCCCAACTTCCTGACCTTCTTCATTTATGTGTCGTGTACTCTGAGCTGTAGTGACCTAGTCCGACCATATCCATTGAGAGAGGGTTCCCATTTTTGCTCCACTAAGATAAATCATATGCCATGTCACTGACTTATAACAATGTGCATTGAGGACGGAATGGCTAAGTAGCTGAGCAGTTATACCATGATTGCTCATGAAATCGGGAGGAATTTCAACTTCAATGCCATTCAGGCTCAAATGCTGCCAGGGAGATTAGTGCATGCATAGTTGGAGATGGAGATGTTTGAAATGGTTTCGATGGCTCTAATATTAATGATGTTTGTTGCCTACCTGCCATGTATGTTTGTTGTTTCACTTCATCAAATTAAGTCCCTTATTGATGGTTGTATAGCAAACTTCTTGTTATGCGTACCATTTTATAGAAAATCTGAAAGCTTAAATCTGAAATTCACCACTGAGCTCATTCATTTTCTGAAAATTATTGGGGTTGTGGATGCTTTGGATAGGCATTCAAGGAGTCTCAACATTAGATGTATTTGGGCACTTGTCCTCTTTCTTTCTTTGAATTTTGTTAGATACTTTGAACTTGTGGCAGGGGTTACTTGTTAGTTTTTTATAATAGGGCTTGTTAAACATAAAATGTGTTTCATTTTTCCATTGTATGATAATGATGAAAAACGTTTACCCGCAATTACTGTGATTACCAATGTGGATGGGTGGTTGCGTATACTTTGTAGGGTATGGTGAATGGCGCCATCCAGATTGTGGTCAATCATCCTAACTGCCTAGGGGCTTAGAGTTTGCAGAAAGCCCATCACTACTTGTGAGGGCATTAGCAAAATTGATGGTCAACATTTTATTTGTAGTTTAGTATCTTATATCATCAATTGAGAATGGCTTAGGTGAGAAAATGTGTGAGAGGCTGTTTTCATTTCTAATGTCAATATGCTCAAAATGCACAAAGATAAACAATAGAAATAGGTGTGAAGGGTTGTCCTCAAAAAAAAAAGGTTGTGAATGGTACTTGACCAAAAACACCATTATTTTGATTTTATTGAAGCAGTCTTATAAGCTAATTTCTTTGTTACGTGTTTTTTTGTAACCTGGTAGGGGAAAACTGATATTTTACTGTTAGACGGAGGCATTTTCACTGATAAATTGTGATTATGCGTACTTCAAATCCCTAACCCAAGGTTGCGATTCCGAATTGGAATCCCGATTCCACGATTCCACCAAGGAATCTTCACGGAATCCATTTCTGTGAAGTCAGGAATCCTGTTTCCAAGGCTTAAAGAATCTAATTTCTAATATTTATTGATTCTCGATTCCTTAATTGTTGAATCTTGATTCTACATTTGTTGAATCTGGATTCCACATATAATGATACTCGATTCTATTGTTTTCGAATCCAGAATCCTGAACATCAAGTTTCGCGGCTCGTAGATGCAAGAAATCATGAATTAATCAAACAACGGATCTTGCTTCCACTTGGAATCATAATAACACAAAATTAAATACTAGTGATATAATTACAACAATATGTGACTTAGTTGCTCAAAGAAAAACAATATGTGACTTATGGATTGGTTTGGATAATTTATGGATTTCGATTGGAGTTATTTGCAAATTGGTTTGGAGACGATTCTCTCCTATAGTTCATATGTGCTCAGAATAATAATCTGATGAACACATTGTTGAAGTATTGGATCTGTAAATTAACTTTCAAATGCAAATATCTAGAGTTACGTTCTTAACTTGTCATTCCAATGCTTTTTGCAGGTAACAAAGGCAAGTATAAGTTCTTTTGCAGGCAACAAACCCAAGTATAACTTGGTTGTTGGCGCATTAAAATTAAGAGAACTTGGGCCTTGCAATGTTAAATTGATTACTCCATGTCTTCACCCCTGGTATCAAAGGCACATAAAATACAACGTAGATAACACCATGGCATAAAGATAATCCCCTTTTGAACGATAATAATGAAATCAAAATTACATTATTAAAATATATGAGATAATATTTTTATCTTTTATACTATTTAAAAAAAAAATATTTGTATCTTTAGCAAACAATTTCCCTAGGCGGAGTACAAGTGTCTATCTACTTCCTATATTGTGTCTGAGGCTCAGTAGTTGATACATTGACTTCAAATCTAAGGAACCCTTCTTCAAGTCTTAGAGACCTCTAATCTTGATTGCTTTGATGAGGTTGTAAGTTGTTGAGGCACGAGATGTCGTTGTTGTAGGAATCTTGATTCAAAGGGGGTTAAAACTCAATCCCATAGAGTTATAATTCTTGATTGCCAGGTGGATCGAAACCTGATTCCAAACTGATATGACTCTCAATTCCAAATACGTGCGAAACACGATTCCAAAGATGTTGGAATGTCGACTCCATATGTGTTGATTTAATATATGTAGAGGTCTCGTTTCTATTTGGGTCGAATCTCAATTCCTATAAAGTAGGAATCTCAATTCCTGTAATTCCCATTGTACGGACGTCGATTCAGCAATTCTAATTCTTAAACCGATTTAAAATCTCAGGCATTTCCCATAACTATATTTTTTAGTAAAATATTGGTTGTACCCTCGCTTCTAAAGTGACTAACTAATAAAAAGTAAGGGTTTTTTTCATAAAAGTACCATTCACACCCATTTTTAATGTTAACCTTTGTATGTCTTGAGTATTATGACAGGGAAAAACCCTTAACAGTATTTTGTAATCATTAATTTTATTTTATTTTTTTTGCATTTTGATTGCCAGTTTTTAAAATTTTCTACTTTTTGTGTTCTTTAGTCCTTCTATTTGTAAGTTCCTTGAAATTGCTTTACTTTTGAATTTCTTTTTTTGAGAAACACTTTTGAATGTTGAAACCTAAAATTGCTGAATCAGTTAATCAATGTGAAAAGAGGGTTCCACTCTATATCTTGGCAATGATATATATGGTCTTGGTGGAGTAGTTTGTGATGGAGATGTTTGTCTTGGAGTTTTCTGGTCCTAGATTGCTGATTGGATTATTTAAGTTGTAGAATGGTTTGAACAGTTTGTTATGTAGACAAGAATGGGGTTTGGGATACCTATCTTTAATAGAATATTATCATGGCAAAATTACGTGTCTTGGATGTGTAATACCATGCTGCACTGCATTGTATATGGAAAATGAGTCTGATGAATGCAATGATCCAGCTAGTGTTTATTGGGTTTATGTGGTCATTTAAAGGCTTTTTGAGAGTATTTAAATCTATGACTATAGTGATATGATAACTCCAGTTGGAGAACAGTCCAGAGGGACCAAAGGATTACAGTCTAGAGGGACCAAATGAGGCATTTTTGATGTCGTGACTCGCCTAGATTTTGATGAGCTAGGCCCAAGTTGATATCTAAAACCCTGTAGCCCTGGGTTTGTGGTACAACTGTAGAGGGTTTGTAGGGACATCCCTTGATGAGGTTGAAGAGATGCTCAAAGTAGGGGACTGTGTGACCCGTGTGTGTGGTTGACTGGTCTGAGGGGACGTGGGCCTAAATGCTCATCTTGCCATCGCTACACTAGATAGTTATTTGGGAAGCAGCCTATCGGGGTATGTGTACATGTGCGGAAGAGATGACCTTCATGCAACATTGTGTGCGATGATCTATGTGACTTGGACTTGTCCCTAGGCCAGGGGGGGCGCTTGTAATCCATAGACTGGGATTGTATTCTCTTCATTTATTGGCTGACTTTGATAGACTAATCATGAACCGTTCTGATGGGCTGTAAATCATGGGTACTATTGGGTCAATTTGAGTAGAAGATAGTAGGACACGGTTGCTAGAATAAATGGAGTGCCTTCGTATGTTCACATTTTCCTTAACCCTTGGATCCAATTCCCATCAAAATTCATTTTATTATATATAAATACGTCTTTTTTGGAGAAAAGGTTAACTTTTTGAAATTATGACACCACCATATTTTCTGTAATAGAAGTAATGGGAATGGGTTAAGAAATACATTTTATTTGAATTATAGAATACTAAAATAAATTTTTAAAGTGCTCTATATAATTTATTTTATCAAAAAGAAATTTTATAGAATACTAAAATAAAATTTTAAAGTGCTTTGTATAATTTATTTTATCAAAAAGTGATTTTTAGAAGGATAAAATTGATTTTTCTGGATTTTATAAATTCATAAGCATTTTAAATATACTAAATGAGTTTTGAAAGTCATTTTATTATTTTTAAATTCGTTGGGCCCATTTGAGATAGGGGCCCTACCACGTTGAGCCCATCTAGGTAGGCCGTGGGGCCACCAAGGACCCACATGGGTGGCACGCCCCACCTTGTTCTCTCTCTCTCTCTCATGAGTTGAGTTGAGTTGCAGGAGAAGTTTTCTAGATTGGAGAGGATAGAAGATTGATTGATTGATTGAAATTTGTTAAAGATTTTGAATTGATTGAAATTATGACACATTACCATATTTCTATATTAGACATTTGCTGGGAATGGGTTAAGAAAACTGAGGGATAAGGTTCTACAACATTCCTTTTAATCGTGATTGCTGATTTAAGGAATGTATGCCTAAGATCTCTTTACCCCATAGGTCGCTTTTGATCAATGGTCAAGATTGATTAACCATAAGGATGGCAATTCCTAGACCCTAAAACCCTATTCCACACTCTAAATACCCCCTCTGGGGGATGGGTTGGTTACACACCTCCCCTCCCCTCCCCTTAGGGCTGCACGCCCTTCTCTTTCCTCCCTCTCTCTCTCTCTCTCTCTCACTAAGATTAGACTTAAGGGGTGCCATGCCCCAAGTATGGCAAAGAGGGGTGGCATGCCCCCAGGTGGTAAGAACCTAGTTTTGGTGGGTGCCTTATTTCTTACAAGAAAAACCTTGGTTATACTCTCATGTTAGAATTAGGGTTTTGCCCAGGCTTCTCTAATTGTGAGACACAGTTGATGACCTAGATCTCGTGCGCCATCTGTGGAGGAGACTCGGTGTGGTGAGTATCAAGTCCTTGGGGGTAACCCTTCACAAGGTAACTTGGCATTCTAATAGTTCCATGTTTCTTGGTTAAAAATTATGTATTATTTTGTTTGAATGTGAGGATTGTAATGGGATGTAAATGAAGATCCTAGATTGTTTTAGGGTTTATTTTTGTAAATTAAAGTTGTATTTAGGACACATGTAAGTGTTCTAGCCACTATTAATAAAAGATAGTGAGAAATTCTTTTAACTGTATATACTTGGCTAGATTACATTGTTCACCTTTCAATGTTCCCACCTAGTACGCTGCAAATGCTATACCATAAACAATGCATCTTTTTTTTTCCCCTGAAAGAATAATGTAACGCGTCTTCTATCGAGAACTTCTATTCACAAATATGTTGCTGCACCACAATATGCATGTATAAAGTTGAATCTAGGGCTGTTGTATAATTTAGTGCTATTGAATTGGTGTGTGAGAAATCTAGATGAGCAAGAAATAATTAAAATGTTTATTTTATACTTAGGTTGTTTGCAGCTTTGTAATATATATTTTCAAATTTGGATTGTTAATTATAAATTTTTTTTTCTTCCTGGAGTGGTCAAAAGTACTCTTATTGGTAATGAAATATGCCTAGGCTTTATAACATTTACTTTAGGGCATTGTCAACACTACTTGGGGATGGAATTTCCAACCATAAGCAAGGGATAGCAAACTCTCTCCTTAATTCTATTGGATAGAATGCACTGGATAAATGACTGACTCCTTTCTTTGACTAAAAGTCAGTTAATTGTTGGTTTTCATGGAGAATAATGCAAATATCCACAGAGTAGGCACATTATGACACACCATGTGATGGTATTGACTATTGAATCTTCTTCTAACTTAAAGTGGCTTAGACAAGCATTCACAGGTTTTGATCTTTTTGGCTAGAGATCCGAACTCATCTCTTGGGGAGTCACAACTACCATTGGCTTTGAGAATCCTTTGAGCTCATGTCCTTGTTATTCCTCAAAGAGCCCCTGATTCTTGTTTGCCTTGTACTGCCAATGGGACTGCTATGGGATGTTAAATTTATGAAGTCTGTCGGAGGTGGATAAGAAAGGGCATGTAGTTGGTGTTTTGAGTTTGCACTCTATGCTATTTTAGTCCAATTTTTGATGATGTCTACAGCACTAATGCCCCAAAAATCCTTGCTCGCACTTGCCTAAGGGATGATTGTAACCTTGATTTGTTGTTGTCATGAATCTTATTTTTGCATGTGTGGCATTGTCTAGTTCTATAGTGAGCAATCTGTCAATGGAAGTTTAGTTATCTGTCTCTGATGTTGAATATTATCTGTCATGAGTGGCTTGTTTATACTTGGCTAACCATTTGTAAGCTTGGACCCTATGGTGTGTGGGAACCTTCAGCACAAATCTTAGGATAACTTGTAAGCTTCATCTAGGGTTATTAAGAGCGGATCGGAACAGCCAGTCGGATCAGTTTGTCCACCGACTGATTTTGGGGCGGTTCTTTCAATTCTAGAAACCATAAAACGCTCAAAACCAATTAAAATTTGTGCTTTACTGATCAGAACAAACTAATTTTGTGGATTTTAACCTAAGATCCTGAGACTGGCCTTTTGTTGAGCTGAATCTTTAATTCGGGCTTGGATTTTTTTGGTTTTGTTTCCATTTTTCCCGACCCCAACTAATTTACAAAAATACTCTCATTAAATCCCTGTGTTTCGCCTTAAATAAATAGCCCACAAAATACTTGCTTGAGTTTCTCTCTAGCTTCATCTTTTCTTCCTAAACAGTTAAAATACTGCAAAGAAATAAAAGAGGATAAGGGATAGCAAGATCTAGAAGGATAGAGCAAGTTAAGAGGGATAGATAGATGAGGGAGAGGAGAGTATTACGTGAGAAGGAAATTCACTTTCAGTGTATATGCCACAGATATGAAATCCATTTTCAAGCAGTGTGCTCTTGGTTCTTTTGGCAAATTAATAACAGGGCCAGGTCACTTTTGTTAGTTCTGAAAATTTAACTTTTATGATATACGATGATTGTAGCCTACTTTGTTATTGACTGAGGTGTTCTTGTTAAATTTGAGTGTAAAGTTCTAAATACTAGTTTCTGAAGTTTCAATTTGGCAATATGGCATGGTACAATTATGGTATTTTCTGTATTTCTCTCACATTACATACATATCTTGGCTCCTTAGAATTTACTTCCAGTTGGCCAGGAAGTTGTTTACTTTCTGTGTCAGTTCTTACTGTCAATTTTATGAACTTGAAGTTGAGTTAGGACCCTGTTGGAGCTTCGTCCCCGAACAAAATTTCCCTTCTGTGGCATGTTTTAAGGCTAATTTTATGAAGTTGGACTTGAGGTCTGACTATGTTGGAACACCTTGTCTTCAACACCTTTATCAGTTTCTTTTTGGTAATAATGGGTCCAACCATTAAGTTGTTTTCCAGGGAATACAGTTTCCTCAGAAATGAAAGTGTCCATCTAGTTATTTTCTATTTTTTGAAGTATTAATGGAGAGATTGATTATAAAATCTTAAAATTGATGTACATTTCCTTGTGCTATTGGGTCTGCACTTTGTCTTTGTAGCGATCTTGAAAGGTGTATCTGGTCGCCAGCATATTTGAGATCTTTGCGGCCAGATATTTACTCGTTTCTATTCGAAAACTGTTCTGCCTTATAAAGCTACTTAATGTCAATCATAATTTATATCAATAATGCCCACCATATTGTGCGGCATTTCATTGCTTGACCTTGTTATGTTTCCATGCTATGGAAGTGCCATTATTGGGAACAAAATGCTCTATTTGTTTTTCGCCACCGAGCAATTATTTGTCTCTTCTTCGGGTTCATGGTAGTTACTCTGCTCATATGAGACATACTTTTCGTCATGGGCTTATTAGTATTTCTTGTCATGAATATGTATCAGGGCTTCCTTGGGTTGGTTTGCATCTGAACCAGAATGGTATGATAAAAACAATAAGCATTTTTCTCAGGCCGAGGCCCAATCAGTTTCAATTTTTGTTCACCATTTGATGAATGAGCGAACAGATACACTGAACATGGAGTCGTCTTCTAAATCTCGGGGACGGGCAACTGAAAATTCTTTCAGTAATACGGTAGGACGCGGTTTATAATTTGTTGAATATCGGACTACGAGCTCCTTTCTTTAGACCAATTTTTATTTTATTTATTTTTGTTGTTTCTTATTGTTTTTATTTTCTTTGTTGGGCCAATTAATTTTTGTGTTTTGTACAGGTGGATCATTCTCATCCCATCTGGGGCCGTATGGATAATTATGTAGTAGGGAAAGAAAAACGCAAGCAATTGCTATTGATGCTATGCCAGCATGAAGCTGACAGGCTTGATGTGTGGGCTAATCCTTTAAGGTATTCTTCATGTCATATCTATATTTTTCCATTTCTTGGAATATAATCAGCGAAACTTGACATTATTAAGAATTTCAACAGAATCTATCCCTGAAGTTTTACTTTTTTCTTCTCCATTTTACAACATTTCCCACAGGGATGGCGCTTCTTCTCGATCTAAGATTAGTTCAGAAAAGTGGATAGAATATGTGAGGACAGCTTTTTCTGTAGATCCTCGAATTGCTCTCTCCATGTGCACACGGTTTCCTGCTGTTGCACCTGTGAAGGCTGAAGTAACTCATCTTGTACAGGTACCTATATAATTTTAGGTTGTCCTTGTTATGGATTTTATCATTCCAGTAACGATCTTAGCTAATTCTTTTCTCACGTCTGCACTTAAACCCACAAATTCTTGTATACTCTGTAGAGCGTGTGGGTTTGGTTTCTAGGCTTGGGCATATCTTGTTATATATGATGTATAAGCTCGTCATATGACTTTTGTCTGTAAATTGCTAAACTATGAGTACATATCAATGTTGCTTCTACTTGAAACTGTTGCGGTGCTTTGTCTTATATACCTTTTACTTTCTATCGTGATATATGGTTCTCATGAGCATGGTCCAGGTGAGATTTGACTGTTCTTCCAATTTTTAGGACTGTTTCAGAGGGCACCTGACCTTATGCTCAAATGTTTTTTAACTGGTTAAGGATTCCATTGTTTAACTATATGAACCTTTGTCTTTATCACTGAAGAAACAAAAATCCTGTGAACCTTTTAAATAAGCATATTATTCCAACAATTTTGATGCTTCAGTGTGATCTTGATTAGGTTTAGCTTTATTTATTTTTTACTTTAACCTTTGCCTTAATGTATGCCACCTCATCAATGACCAGTAATATGGTTATTTATCCTTTACGGATATTTGTTATTGTATGCACCTCATCAATGACCAGTAATACGGTTATGATATAGTAAGAAGCTGCAGAGTACAAAAATTTGAGCCTGTTATTGTAGATGATTTTTTTTCTAGGTGGTTGTGAAATGAGATACCATGCCAATGTTATCATCTTTTGATCATGCCTGCAATTTTTGGGGATTTGCCTCGTATCTTCTCTACAACTTTTGAAGCATAGGATGCAGCTTCTATTACTTCAGCATTCCTTCATTTATACTGCAAGTTGAATCAATTTTACGAGAAATTAGGTATACAAAAATGAAATACTTGGATCAGTTGTCTGTACTAGGAAGTGATAATTATTTTGAAAACAAGTTCAGTTTATTTGAAATTGACATGGAAATAGTATTTAATACTTGTGTTATAGCCTGTATGAAGCTGTATTGATTAAATTGTTCATTGGTTAACAAGTTCAGGCTAACACTACTGCATTCAGGAACATGGAGACACTAATTATGGCATAAAGAAGTTCAGTTTAAATTATGCATTTTAGATCTAAATGATTTCTTGTTTCTATGCCCTGTTATTTGATATTTCTTTGCTTTCTATATAATTGTTTATGTAATAAAGTTGGCATACATTATCCAGTTAAACATTATTGACTTGAGGACAATGCCTGGCGCCCTGCCATTTTTTGTGACTCCAAAAGCTGTGGATGAGAACTCACCAGCCTTGCAGCAGTTACCACATTGGGCTGCTTGTTCTATTACACAGGCCCTTGAGTTTCTTACACCACAGTTCAAGGGTCACGCTAGAGTAATGGCTTACGTGCTTAGAGTTTTGGAGTCTTATCCTCCTGAGAAGGTCACCTTCTTTATGCCACAGCTGGTACAGGCTCTCCGATATGATGAAGGGGTGGGTATTTCCTTTCAATATTTTCTGATTTTGTTTTTAATATTGTTTGTGTATTCCATTTGCTCTTTTTTATTTCTGCAGTAACATGCTGGAATTATATGCAACCTTTCATTGTAATGACTGTGAATGTCTGCAGAAACTAGTAGAAGGATATTTGTTGGGAGCTGCTCGCAGAAGTAATATATTTGCACATATTCTAATATGGCATCTTCAGGTTGGAAACCTTGTTTTTAATGTGATTTACATTAAATCATTAGGATGATACTCCAGATGGTAGTCTCTAGTCAGTAATCATTGGTTTTTTCCAAGTTTTCTGTTGATGTGAAACCTTGAGATGCAGCCGTTGGGTATAATTTTTTTATGAATTATTTGCTTTTTTGTAAAGGTTAGCATTGATTGATATACACTGCCTGTTTGATAAAAAGAGTATTTCAGTTTTTTTATCCCCTAACACACAATCCTTGTAAAGGATCCATGACAGCGTCCTTGGACACAATGATTTACCGTATTTCTATGTTTTTTCTCAATGATGATCTTTTTGTGCGTATGAGTAGGCTTGGTTAATTTTCAGATCTATTTGTTTATGATTTGATTTCGTTTTTTTTGAGGCTTTTAATGGCTGGCCTTGTTGCTTGCACAGTTTCTCTGAAGTTATTTTTTGATCAGCTTCTCCATCATTCTCTTAAAGAATTATTATTTGCAGGGAGAGGGAGATGCCTCTGAATCAGGAAAGGATGCAGGTGGTTTTAAGGTATGATCTTGTCTTGAAATCCTCTAGATTTCCTCTTATTTATAGTGTTTTACTGAAAGGTTGTTTTGGGGGCCTTTTCTATTGTTTCTTGTTCTCTCCAACTTGGGTTTTGTTCTTTCCAATGTTCCTCAGTTGGTGTTCCTTGTTCCTTGTCGATCTAGTGGCCCAATCTATTTGGAGTATTGTAGGACAAGAAAACAGAAAGTAATTATGTACATAGCATATTAATGAAAAATGTTAGATTTTATTATTGTTGTGTGTGTACATTCCTGGATACAAGTAGCTGTAAATGGATTTAAAACTGTGTGGGGAAAACTCTTTCCTTTATTTCTAATTAATATGATGCTCCTACACCAGAAGTAAAAAATAACATCCCAAAGAAAATAGAGTAGTTTGGGCTAGATGTCGTGTGGCAATCCAAAAAGAAATGGAAGAAACTAAAACAGAGTTAACAAATTCTAGGCATACAAAGAGAAATATGGACTGCCGTTTTGGTCTGCCTGCCACCATTTTCTGTCTTCCAGTGGATGTGCAAACAGAAAGCAGTGCCTGTTGTAGTCAAAGTTACTAGAAAGATTTCCAACAAAATTTTGCGTTTCCACGTGCCCAATGATTGATGCCAAAAGTCTGGCCTTGTTGGCTACCAGACAGGCGATTGCCTGGTAACCACATCTGGTCATTAAGATAGCATTGGCCAATGAATATTTATTAAATTTGCTTTGGCTGAAAAGCTCCTTGAGCCATGTTGAATGGTCCCATCTCCATCTCTAACAGTCTTTAAACATGCCTACGTCAGGTTTTCTCATGTCAGATTCTTTTGACTAGTGGCTTGGTGCAAATTAGGCTTGGTTGAGTCCAATGTCAGTGGTTTTTGACATGGTACGGGGCTGACTTAGATGGTTTTGCAATTGTCTAATGACACATTTTATATAACACTGGGTTTTGATGAGGCAACCCATAGAGTGACAAACACCCTGTGAAATAGAGGTGTTTACCATCACCGGTATTTCAGAAATTTTTTGTTAAAATTAATTTGTTAAATAAAAAATTTAATCTTTAAATATCAGTGATTGACAAACTGATATTTATTTGTGGAAAAAATACCAAGCAAGATATGGATGTTTTACTGCCATTATCTCGCGACATAATTCCTTTAATAAAAAATGGAATCCCCAATATTTAATAAATCTGAAATATTGTCATGTGTTTTTCCGATGAAGGGATTGTTAAATCATTGAACTTCTTAAGTTGTTTCGATTAAATGCCTTTTAATATTTCAATGGTGATCTAAAGGATTTATTCTCACCCAATTACGTAATGGAATGGGTATTTATGAAAAAAATAAATAAAAAATGTAATGAGTGAAGGCTGTCAGTCATATGTAAAGATCCACACTAGTTCAGATAGAGAAATGAGGAGAGGGAGGGGAGAGCCAGGAGCGTGGTGCCTGCAAAGGCCATCTACTGATTCACAGGCCCTCCAGGAGCCATACATTGTTATGGCTAGTAAAACAGAAAATCAAGTTGGGGAAATAAACCAGGAGTACCCTTGTCATATAACAGGAAGAGAGGTGCTCCACGGAGGTGCATGGATAAGCCACTTGAGTCAAAGTGGATAAAGATATTATACAAAAGAGGAAAGAGCTACCACAAGACATTCTAGTAGGCAGATTTAGCCCTCATCACATATTTCAGGTTTAGAAAAATGGGCTATGAGAACATGGCGAACTTCAAATCCTATTCTGTAAAAGGCTGGTAAATGACGATCTGCTGTTCATATTGAACTCAAAAATAAAAGAATCGGAAATCCTAGAGCAATCGTGGTGGAGTTTTAGGGATCCTCACTGACCTTATTTTGCCCGAATCCAGATACTTTCTCATTTCTTTTCCATCAAAATATAGTCTAGCTCTTACTTACTGGTATAGCCTGCATGGTTGGTGATTGCATTTCTTGAATATGCTTCCGTGCTCCTTGAGCGGGATCCCTGTCCGGCCACAATAACATTTGGGGGGATGAGTGATCCCAATCTAGTATGAATTGATCAAGAAGCTAACACACCACATTTTTAAAGAAAAAGCAATCAATGCTTGTTAATAAAAAGGAAAAGAGTAGTAAATGCATATCCATTAGAAAAAAGCAATAAATGTATCAATAAAAAAGAAAACAATATTTAACTGCATGATTACTAAATTTTTCAATAGGAAAAGGTCCTTAGTTCTGCATTAATCAAATAGTGTCCTGTAATTCCTTTAAATATATGGTTGGTGTCTCTCTCTCGCTCTCTTTGTATATTTGTATATACATTTTCTCTCCCTACTTTATGCTTTAGGCTCTTTTTTTTTTTTCGTTTCTTTTTTAAATAATGAAGGGGATATGTGAAGAAATGGGGAGGACCTGTATATGAGTTTATATGACTTGACATAAATACACTTTTTATTGTCATTTACAATGTAAAAGCTAGTAAATATCTTTAGTATATTATTGTGATGGACTTGTATATCAGAAGATTGAAGTGAGTGGAAGTTATTACTCTCAAATCTTATTTGATTAAAGTTATTCGTGACAATAATTAATATTTTCCTTATATATTAATCTTGCATCTAAATAGTACCTAGAAAATTACTTTTTTTTTTTGAGAAATGTTAACATTGTATTACTGAGACAGTAATAATTACAGAGGTAGAAGGGACCGAGAGCACCTACGTTAGTCAGTCATGTACAAAAAAAGGCTTATAAGTCTCGCCCAATTACAATGAATAACAATGATTTTTCAAAAAGTAAACAAGGGCTAAGGAGTGCCGAGTCGAGAGGGGCTACGTAGTGTGCCTGTGGTCCAGAACAAAAAAGGAGTAGGACATGGCGTGCTCTTTCACTTGGATTCTAGCTCCCTCTTTCGCCATGAGATCTGCGAGCTCGTTAGACGTCCTCCATGTATGCTTTCAGGAGACGTCCATATCCCTGCAAATGCGAGCAATTTCATAAAAAATTGTAGTTAGTTGCCATGGGGGAGGGGTCACCCCGTTTGCCCATGAGAGAGTGTTTTGAGAATCTCCTTCCACAATTAGGCGTGTGCCCCAAGACGGATTGAACTTTTTCAGGCCCAATAAAAGAGCCATAGCTTCTGCATATTGGGTGTCATTGCTGCCAAGATGCTCATAATAGGTTAGGAGGATGTTTCGATAGTGATCTCTAAAGACTCCTCCAGCGCCTGTCGGGCCAGGATTCCCTAGGGAGCAACCATCAAAATTCAGCTTGATGCTAGCTTTTGGTAGTGGTTGCCAGTTGTTAGCTCTTGTAACTTTTCGTGGATGGTGGTCAAGGATATTTTTCCATTGGCAAAGGAAAAAGTTCCTGGATAATCTCAAGAACGTCTTGTGATTAGTGGCCCAGCGATATTGCCTTGTGGAATAGAGCTGGTAAATGGAGTTAATCTCCTAATAGAAAGATGGCGCCCCGATTTCAGTCGAATCCCTCGTGAATTTATTGGATAGAAGTCCATTAAAAATTCTATTATTTCTTTCTACCCATATTGTCCATATGGTAGCAGCCACAGTAGCCTTCCATAAAGTTCTTCCAGCCAAAGGCCAGCAACAACCCCCCTCTCCTGCTTTCGTACGCGCTCCCACCTGACTTTGAATTCAGGGACTTGCATGGTTGTTTGTTAAGAGTTTGTTAAATATTTGGGAAGCTGATTTCGCTTGACTGGGAAGTCATAGCAGGTGATAGACTAGTGTGGTAAGGATGCAGGTAGAGGTTCTATATGATAGATCCACTCTGAAGCGGATGACCTTTAACAGCGGAAGATCTGGGGTGATTCTTATCTATTCGGGAAGATAAACCAAAAAACGTTGGGCATTGTCAATAAGGAGAATCACAACATCCTAGGCAAAATAGATTACCCCTATTGGAAACAAGAAAAGAAAGGTGGATCATAGTACAGTGGAAATTGAACCTAGGAGCAAAAGGAACCACCGGTGAAATTTGCACAGGAGAACTCAGAATGGAACACAAAACTGGAGTTTGGGGAAGAAGAAATGAGGTGTCAGATAACCTAGCACAGGAGGGAGACGTGTCCAAAAGTAAAAGGATTTGGGTGGTTTAAGGTAGCAGAGGAATATTAAGGCAGATGGGCTTCAAGGAGTTTCAAATGTTACAAAAAGAAAAATTGCATCTGGAAATAGTCAACCTTTCTCCAAAAAAAAAAATGCATCTGGAGGTGAAATTTTAAACTCAAGGTCAAATTTGAATTCAAATGTAAGTTAAGAAGCAAGAGGGCCATATGAATGTGATGCAGCCAAGTCGCCATCAAAGCATCTCTGTGCCACCTGTAGAGAGAGATATTTGTGACTGTTTGATCTCCCTGACAAATGGAACCGCAAATGGTAGATCAAGGAGGGAGCAAAGATCTGACGACGATGGTTTCTTGCAGCACTTAGAGGGTTCATGGACAGTTATGGGCCAAAGTTTGAGGGGATCTATATTCAATAACCGAGATTGCTTAGTCAATTGGATCCATACTTGATGGTGAAGATAGAGGGAACCTCAACAACTCAACAATATGCAATGGATCCAGCATTATGCACGATTGAATAGGAAAAATATCAAATGTCGAAGGTAGAAGAAACAAGCATGGTTTGGGGGCAATTGAAAATAGAGACATGGTTGCTCTCCTTGCCAACCCCCAACAGAAAAGATCAATGGCCATTGTGCAAGATCGAATAGGAAAAATATCCAACGTGGAAGATATAAGGAAAAAAAGGCATGGTTTGGGGGCAATAGAAAATAGAGACATGGTTTGCTCTCCCTGGCCTCTACAAAGAGATCTTATTTAGACTTGGAGCGGCAATGAGAAACTCCTTATGATTCAATTCAGGTTGGGACCAATGTTATCAGAACCCAACCACTGGCACCGATGAGGGCACTGGTCCGGTTAGACCGGCCGGTTTGGACTAGTTCACTGGTCGGACCGGTCCTACAATTAAAAAATATGCAAAAAGCAGGAAAGTACGGGAAATTTGTAAAAGGTTTAAAAAGTCAAGAAAAATACATGGAACAAAAAAAAAAATGTAACATGGGAATAAAATAGAACTATATAAAAGACAAAGTCAACCTCCACAAGTTCCTAAACTCCACCATAAAAAACTACAAATACAAAGTACAAAGTACAAACTAATGTTTCAAATTCTCCTTTACATAATCATAATGCATAAATGCTATTAAAAACACAAGTCTTCATATGTAATCTATGAAACTTAGATCAATATTCTTCTTCATCATTATCTCCTCCCATTCCATTTACTAGCCTTGTGTTTTATTTTAGGGAAGCTCCTTCCAAGCACTTCTACCCATTATAAGGCAACGGATTATTGATGGCTTCACTCCTGAGGCTCGTGATTTATTCCAAAGGGAATTTGACTTTTTTGACAAAGTCACATCAATTTCTGGGGTGCTTTTTCCTCTAGCTAAAGAAGAGCGCCGAGCTGGTATTCGCAGGTATTATCGAATTAGCATCTGTTTCAATTTTAAATATCTTAAATGTTTCTCTTATGTTATTTTATGGATGGTTCTTTCCAGGGAATTGGAGAAAATTGAAATGGAAGGAGATGACCTTTATCTTCCTACTGCTCCCAACAAACTTGTGCGTAGCATTCAGTTGGACAGCGGGATACCCTTACAGTCTGCTGCGAAAGTACCTATAATGATCACATTTAATGTGGTGGACAGGGATGGAAATCAGAATGATTTAAGGCCACAAGCATGTATATTTAAGGTCCAGAATTGTCCTTTCTACATTTTATTTTATTATTGAAACACTGCATTATAATGTCATGTAAATATTTTAAAAAAATTTAGGGTTTCAAAATGCAACTGGGAGTTGGTCTAAATTAGTATTTAACTGGTGATGTGTGTATTTTTTGCTAGGATAGGTTAGCAGGTTGGTACATGTAGTTGAAATTTTATTCTGCCACATTTTATATTTCTAGTACTTTCACAAAAGGTTTTAACTTTGAATTTGTCATTTAGGTTGGTGATGATTGTCGACAAGATGTTCTTGCTCTTCAAGTTATTTCTCTCCTTAGAGACATTTTTGGAGCAGTGGGACTTAATCTCTATCTGTTCCCATATGGCGTCCTACCAACTGGTTATGAAAGAGGAATTATTGAGGTAATTATAGGTTACCTTTTGTGGAAGATGGTTTGACAATGTCCTTTTTCATAGGAGAAGTTTAAAATAAGGCCATTTATTTTTGGCAAGGAGGTCATAACCATGTTTAGGTGTTGGATGTAAATCGAGTGGCTGAGGGCGTGTCAATGGCTAAGCTCAAAGTTCAAAGAAAACTCATAGTTAGGAGTAATTGTGACCTTGTAATATAGATAAATGGTCTTATTGTATACAATCCCATTTTCATATTTAAATTGGTAATGCTCATGTACTCATTAGTTATCCTGTATTTATAGAAAACTGAAATCTGTTCATTAGCTTATCGTTTGTGCATGTGTTTCTATCTCACTTTCTCACTCATTGCATATTATTATATAACTATTTATGTTCTTTATTTGTGCCCCAGGTGAGTTCATGTTTTCATCCCTGCTCTCTCTTTGAATTTAGATTCTAGTGTTGAAAGTGCAGTAGTGGTTGAAATTGAAGTAGAGAAGAAAACAGTTTGGTAGGATCTAGAGAGAGAGAGAGGAAATAAAATAAAGATGATGAAGGAGAGAGAGCATGTGAGAGATATAGAGAGAGAGAGAGAGGGAAAGTGAGTGGCTTAGATGTTAATTATGATCTCTACCCCTCTTATAGCATTAAGTTATAACCCTAATTACAACTTATGGATAATACTGCCCTTATTTAAATATATAAAATAAATAAAAACTAAATAAAAGGCAAATGACAGTTTTGTCCTTGTAACCATGTACCTTGAGCCATTGCTCTATATTCTGCTTCATCACTTGATCGTGCTACCACACTTTGCTTCTTGCTTTTCCAAGTAAACAGGTTTCCAAACCGAAGGTACAATATTCTGCACACAGCATCTATGTAAACTGCAACATCAAGATGTCCTTGATATGAGAAAAATATCTCTTTCCTTGGTGCAGATTTGAGATATCTTAATATTTTGTACACAACATCAAGGTGGGGTTTACATGGTGCATGCCTAAATTGGTTGATCACACTAGCCACATAAGAAATATCTAGTCGAGCGATTGTGAGATATATATAAGCTTGCCCGCCATTCGTTGATACTGATTAGGATCTTTGAGTAGCTCTCCCCTTTCTCCAAGAAGTTTATGATTGCATCTACCGGATTATCTGCTGGTCCACATCCCAACATCCTCGTTTGTTGTAACAAGTCCAACACGTATTTTCTCTGGGAGCTGACTATCCCTTTCTTTGATCTAGCCACTTCAATTCCCAAACAATACTTAAGGGGTCTTATATCTTCGATATCAAACACCATGCTTGAATAAGATTTAAGATCCTTACATTATGCCGTGTCACAACAATATCATCAACATACACAATAAGGGCAGAAATTTCAACAGTATCCCTCGTCACAAAGAGTATATGATCAGCTTGGTTCCTTTTGAACTAAAATTTTAGTTGTGCCTCATTGAATTTTTTAGCCATACACTAGGAGATTGTTTAAGTCCATATATTGCTTTCTTGAACTTGTTAACCTTTACTATCTCCCCCTTGATTTGAAAACCAGGGGCTTGGCCACATAGATTTCTTCTTGGATGTCTTCTTGTAAGAATGCATTCATAACATCTATCTGATGGAGTGGCCACGATTTATTCGCAGTTAGTGAAAGAATGATCCTACAGTGTTCAACTTGGCCACAAGCGGAAAAGTGTCTTGGTAGTTTATACCAAGAGTCTGGGTGAAACCTTTTACAACCAATCTTGGTTGTACCTTTCAATAGTACCATTAGCTTTGTATTTACCGTGAATATCCACGACATTCTAACCTTCTTCCCTTTAGGAAGGTTAGTGATTTCCCATGTATTATTCTGCTCTCATCTTGTCATCTAGGAAGGTTAGTGATTTCCCATGTATTATTCCGCTTTCACCTCGTCATCTATTTCAGCTTTCCATTGAAGTTTTGAAAGTGCTTCTTCAACAGCGGAAGGTATTCTGATAGAAGACAAAGCAGATATGAAGGTATGATGAGAGGGAGACACAAAATTGTAAGATACGAAGTTTCCTATTGGATGCTGAGTGCACGAACGTGTACCCTTGCGAATAGAAATAGGTAAGTCCAAATTAGAATTCTTTGAGAGGGTAAAAGAGTTACCTGGGTCAGGAACAATTTTCGATTCCGGTTTGGCATTTAAGGTATGGTCACTTAGAACTTCGGGTTGTACCATTTTTTTCCTCCTGGTATGCGTCTTCAACTCCTTCTTTGAATGCGCACCATTCCTTTAAGATAAACCACTCTCTTCAGATAAACATAGTGTGGGAATAGGAAGGGCTGCAACTAATGTGCTTTCTTCACTAAACTGTATCTTATTCTTCCCCTGAGGAGAGCACTCATGACTTGTAGAGGAGAAGTACGGAACATATTCAAAGAAAGTGACATCCATGGAGACATAGCGGACCTTGGTAATAGGATCGTAACACTCATACCCCTTTTGATGAGATGATTACCTCAAAAAAATACATTTGTCAGCTTTAGCATCAAGCTTGTTCCTCTTTGGACCAAGGATGTTGACAAAATATACAACCAAATACCTTGAGAGGTACAGGGATGAACAATTTCAAAAGGAGATTTTCCCTGAAGAACACAAGAGGGCATGCGGTTTATTAAAAAAGTAGTGAGAATTGCTTAAGACTAGAAAATTTTTGGAACTTTCATTTCCAGTTAAAGAGCTCGGGAGACCTCCAACAAGTGTCTATTTTTCTCTTAGCTATAACATTCTGATGAGATGTGTATGGAGTCTATGGACAAGTTGTTTGGAACTCAATTCCTTGATCAAGAAGATAATCTTTAAGCCTGTTTGACTCGTACTCACCCGCATTATTAGACCACAAGACTCTGATTTGTGCATCATATTGAGTCCTAACCATTTTGTGATAGACTTGGAATTGATTAGCAACTTCATCTTTGTGTTTCACTAGATTGACAATTGTAAATCTAGAACAATCATCCACAAATATAACAAAGAAACGAAATCCAAACATCGATGCAATTGGTGAAGGATCCACACATTAGAGTGTATAAGAGAGAAAGAAACATCACTCTTCTTATTGATACTGATAGGAAATGAAGTTCTACAATGTTTTGACAACTCACAAGTGTATTAGAGAGAAAGAAACATCATTCTTTGTGAGATTACTAATTGGTAGGAGGTTACTAGAAAGATTGGAAACTTGCAAGGTGGATGACAAGTTGAAAGGAGTAACATGTATGGTTCCCTTTCCCTTGATTGGAATAAGAGAACTATATGCTATTTTAATTGATTCATGATTAGAACGAGGGATATAAGAAGAGAAAATATCAGTCATACCAGTCATATGTTCAGTTGCCCCAGATGCAATACTCCAAGGGTTTCAGAGCTATCTATAGAGTATGATGTGCTGGTGCGGATATACCTGATTGTACTATGTGAGACATAGAGGAGGGAGAAGGGTTTCGAATGGAAGCTTACTTCTTGAGATCCAGAGGCTCTCTTTTAGGAATAGTCACTAACTCTTCTTGGGGTTCAAAGGAGATGGCATTTTGTTGCCCTTGAGTAACTGGGGCAGTGCTTTCACTGATTGTTGTTGAATTTGCCCTTGGAAAGTTTCGCTTTGGGAGTCCATCTAGATCCCATCATGTTTCCTTTTTGTATCAAGTCTTCCTATAGTGGGTGCACTTCCTTCTCATCAGATGAGGGGTTTCTACGGCCACGTCCACCAACTCGGCCTCCACCAAGGCTCCCAAACATCCTCCACATAGATAACCACTAAAACTTGTGAATAGAGCGGATCTTTCAGTTTCACCCATAGACACTGCCATTATCTTGCATTGATTTTCTTCATGCTGAAGAAGGGAGGTGATGGAAAAGTCTCACTACCGAGAACATTTGCCTTAATTGTTTCATAGTATCCATTAACTCCCCTTAAAAGATAAAAAATCTTCCTTTGATCCAGTCTCTCTTTGTTCCTTTGCACAATAAGAACACTGTATGGGCTGATGCTGACTTAATTCATCCCAAAGACTATGTAGATGAGCATAATAGTCTCCTAGTGACAAGTCAACCCTGTTTAAAATCACCGATTTGTTGACCCAATTCATCAAGCCTCGCAATATTTTTCTTTTACGAATAGGACTAAGAGACTGCCTCCCATAATTCCTTAGAGGTATTGCAGTCCATAAATGATTGACTCAAATTTGGCTGCATAAAAAATAGTATCCAATTCATAATAGCCATATCTTTAGCCTCCCAGTCTTGCATATTTAGCATCCTTTAGGTCAGGTTTTTCCATACGGCCGTCAATGTATCCCAGTTTTTTCTTTCCACACAAAAATAGTCTAACCCCATTCTAAATAGTTGGTTCCATCAAGCCTGGCAGAGCATCTTGAGCGAACCTTAATTGCCCATGAACATGTCCATTGTATATTACCAATGACAATAGAGAATGTCCCTTTCACCTTACAACTGATCTTCATAAGATTTTACTAAAGTTAATTGCACTTTTTCCAAAATGTGAAAAGATAGGGTTGCGACGAGATCTATACAAATGGGAGTAAAATATGCATATCCACCCCTAGGTACTTTATGATCTAAAGGGAAAATATCTTTGTACACCTTGTTTTTAGGTTCCATTTCTAAAAAGACCCAAGGTTTCAAACCATATCTGGAGGCATAAAGATTCCATCTATTATATCTATTATATCTTCTAACTTATGCTTAGTTAATGGAAGAAATCCCAGATATGAATGAGCCATGTATGGGTGAAAATGAATACATAAGTCCCAAAAGATGATATACCATCTTCGAGGTTTATTCAACATGCCAAGGGAAAACATGGGGTTCTTATATTTCTCAAAAAAAACATAAGGTTCTTATTGATCTAGACACTGACAAGAGACAGATGCCTGTCATGGAAGTCAAAAGAGAAGTGGGTTCTTCAACTTATGACAAAAATGTAGTCTTAGTCTTTGCCTGCCTCTTTTCGTAA